GTATTGTTTAGCTTTTCAGGTGTGGCTTGGGATCTACGCAGCATCCAATTTTTTTTTTTGCATGTCGTGTCGACAGGGTTGGTATTTGGATTGATCCGACCAGGGTTTTAGCAACATTTATGGATAACTTTGGAAGTTTTATCGAGCTAGTTACAGATTGGTGGAACATGTTCAATTTCAGTCAAGGTGTGGAATCTTGTTTTAATCATTAATGAGGATGTTTCTGTTAATGGTTGCGGTTCTCCATTTTGTTAGATCTACTGGTACTTCAAACTTTGGGTAAGGTTGTGAGGAAGAAGGAATGTAGCAGATCTAGGGATTGGTTATGTGTTCCCTTGAAGGTGGATATCGTGGTAGTTCATCGACTATGATCATGAGGGGTGTATGTGGACTGAGAAAGAAAGAATGGGAGCACTTGGTCAGAATTTATTGGTATGGTTCTATTATAGTTAATATCTTCTGAATTGGAACAAGAGTATGGCCACCTATCTCATCCTCTGGTTGTGTGCGACCATGTTTTCGTCTGATTTAGGATTAACAACTTGTATTGTGAAAGGAATTGTGTGTGATATAAGGGTATGGCCCATATTGATGGGGTGTTGATTGGGTCCCTTCAAGTCGATAGGTTAATGGTTGAGTACCTTTAGGTCCATGTGGTGCTGGTTATGAGTCTTCAGGATAGTGATGGAATAACAACAAGATCGGTGTAGTAACGTGAATTTATAGTTTTAGTGGTTAAAAGGTGTCACGGTGTATCGTGAACCAGTGGTTGTATGATTCACATGGATGGGACCTAGTAGTCTTTTGATTGGGACTCTTAGGTCTCGGATCGTTAGTCTTATTGGCATTTTTGGGTATTAGTGCATTGTTAGGAATCGGGAGACTCAGTGCCAGCCGGTTTGGATCATGTGGACAGTAAAAGTTTGTTGGGAATATTAATTATGTGTCAGAAGTCTCTTTCTGAATGTTTACATTATGAACCCCCATTTGATGGCATACTATTTATTAGGAGTTTGGTTACCAATGTTGGGTATTGGTTCTGAAATCTCGAGTCATGTAGTTCATTGTAAATGTCTCGAGCACTTTGTCAAGTGGATGTACACCTAAGCTGATGAGCGATTTGGATGAAATGTGAGAATCTTGGATGAATGATCATTATGCTCGTGGTAGGAATGGGTTGGTGATGACTTTTTAGGAAGTCAAGTGTATATTTAAGGTTTTTGGGCACAATTTCTGGATTGAGGATTTGTGGAAATTCACGATTGGTGTATTGTAAGTATTGTTTCTGCATGACTTGGTGTTGTTCCTAGTCAGAGACTAGGATAGGTACGACATATGGATGTTCATCACTCTTAGGGTATGGTTTTTGAAGTTTAGACTGATGGGTTCCCGGTTATGGGAGGTATATTCATGGAGTTGATTTATGGTTGTAGTTTTGAGAGTTCCCGGTATGAGGCGTTCTCTCTGGAAGTTAGGTCTTAAGTTCTGGTTGTGGTTGAGTATTTTCAAGTTATCAGGTTGTTTGTTGGCAGTTGTGGGTTTCCGAGTGATCTCTCGATTTCTCAGTATAGATGCCTTGATTTCAAAGGGGATTAGAGGGATTTTGTGTAATATGTTGTCATTAACTTCAGAGATTCTAACCAAGACGGATTTCGAGGACGAAATTCAATTTAAGTGGGAGAGAGTTGTAACATCCTGTTTCGAGAAGTTTCTTATTTTTAGGATTGTGGACAATGAATGGATTAAATAAAGGTCTTGGGCTTCAAGGGAATGTGGTTTAGACCTTATTAAATGATGACAATGTTGGATAAGTGATTAAAACCTTGGTTTGTGTCTTGGAGTGAAAGGATAAAATAGGAAAAGTGATGTTTTAGACTTCTTTCATGAATTATGGTTTTTAGTTCGACATGTGTTAAGCCAAAATTAACTAGATAGAAGTATGGGGCTCGTCAATACCTTCTGATGGATATAAAGATCGCCAAAAACGGAGTTGAAACGAAGAAGTTATGATTGTTTAAAGTTGGAGTGAAATTGGGCGAAAACCCGTTCTCACGAGATAAGAAGTAGTTCTTACAACGTGAGAAAGTGCTTACGAGGTGAGAATGTATTCTCACGATATGAGAACTGTCCAACCCAAAAGCCCACAAAAGTTTTAGGGTTTTCAAGGTATTTAAAAGTAAGGGTTCATGTTTTAGGGTATTTTCTTAGCCTCCATCATATCTAGAACCTCTTGCAAGAAACCCTAGCCTCTATTTTCATGATTTGAGTCTCCTCTCTCCTCTTTTATCCATTTTTGGAGTTTTTGGTGGTTTTAGAGAAATGTTTTCATGCAAGATTGATCCTTGAAGCTTAGCAATTGAAGATCTCAACTTTCATCTACCTTCTAGACCTTTATAAGTTATAAAGTTTCAAGCGTTATTGCATTTCATCTTTGGATCTAAGTGTATTTGGTGTTTTGGTCCATTTCAATGAGTTTTGAGTGAGAGTTGGAAATAAAGTTTTCAGCTTTATTACTCTCCAAGGCCCTAAGAACATTGTATGTTTCAGATCTAGACTCCAACACCTTTTGGACAAGTTTGGAATATTTTCTTGGACCTCATGGACTAGGAAAGCTTTGATCTTTTGCCTTCCCTTTCAGTCATGCAAGTTATTTTAGTCATTTATGCCATTTTGGTGTATTAAAGTTTAGATCTTGGAAGCTTGAGACATTATTATGGATAAAGTTGGAAACTTTATCCATCTAAACATTATCTGAATGTTGGAGACTTTGACATAATGGATTTAGCTGAGAAAGATGCATTCTTGGTCTATTTGAGACTTAAAGACTAGATTTGGGCTGGTTAGACCATCCTGATGGATAAAATTTGAAATTTTTATCCATTATGAAGCTATTTATGAACTAGATCTAAGGTTATGTGCCTTGGTCTGAAGAGATTAAGCACTTAATGAAGATTTTGGCCTTCTGACCAGAAGTCACGACGTGACAAAGGATGTGTCACGACGTGACGGTGTCCAGAATCGCGATTGTTTGTCGTTGCATTCTCACGACGTACTAAGGAATGGTCACGACGTGACGGTGACTTTGACTAAGCTAACCGTTGACCTTGTGGACTTTGAGGGTTGACTTTTTGACCAGTTTGACTTTTGGTCAAACTTTGGTATAATGGAGTATTTGACTAAGGAATGGTCATCACATCCCTTAAATAGGGCCCAAGGCTAGCGATCCAGGGTTTTGCACCCTAGCGTCACCACATCGTGGCCATTACATGACCACATCATGGTGTCTTAATGATAAGCACATTTCATGCAGAAATGTCATGTCATGGTGATACTCTCCACCACGTCGTGGCCACAAAGAATTCTCAAATTTAAAAAAAAATTGATAATACTTGAAACTAGGTGTCAAATTTCTACAAACCCTAAGAGGGTTAAGAAATTTGATCACCTCAAGAAGAAGAAGAAGGAAGAACAAAATTTTAGAAGCCTTTAATAGCAAATATGTTTTAATCCCTAGCATCCTATTTATAGGCTTCAATTGTTTACTTCCAAAGCAACTTTAAAACCCTGGATAAGCTCTATCCATTTTTGTCCATTACCTTATCCTTAAAGGATTATGAAATATTCCAATTAATTGACATTTATCCTCTTAAATTAATTAATTCCAAAATAATTTCTAATTAATTTATCAAGTCATGACAAATTAATAAACTAATTTCTCATTTGTTTGCTCAAATTGGTGATGAGGACAATCCAAAAGGACTCTATTATTATTAGAAATATTATCATTTATTAATAATATTGGACACTCTTTCCAACACATAGTTGTATCTATTATAGTTGTATCTATTATATCATATAGAAACAATCAAAAAAATATTCCAAAATCAAACAAACACCATGTCAATTGGTTACATTTGGCCACATTTTTTTACAGTGGCAAGTACATGTCATTTTTTTTTTCTTAAATAGCCAATGAATTAATCGAAAGTGTGAGAGAGTTGTTTTAACAAAAATACGACCAAAAGTCATTTTTATACTAATGTTTAGAAGATCACAAATATATAGTAATTCATGTCAGCTTAATGAAGTCCATCAAGGAAAACTGTTCTTTAAAAAAACAAGCCAATAAAGTACTTCTTGAAATGGTTTCAAAATTATTCAAAACAAAAAAAAAATGTAATTATATCGTAGACCAGGAAAATGACTATATTCATGACAGAAGATCATATCCAATAACAAATCTGTTTATAGATATTGTATTTTTTTATAAAAAATTTGGTTTTATATTTTTTATTCTACAATTTATATAATTAAATAACACAATTTGTTAAAAACCTTTTCTTTTAGTAGTTTTTTATTTTAAAAAATCGGTTAAGAGGGTCATGTTTGTTGCATGGATATACAATTTTGGACAAAGTTATACAATTCTTGGATGAAAGCACAACTACCATTGGGTTGGGCCACAAAAGCTACTACATATTGGTCCACCCCATGGGCCAGAATAGTAACATAAGGCCCACCTATTTGGACCACAAGTCTACAGCTGAGAATGAAATCTCAACAACACCAACCATTATCTACTGTTCCTACTCAATTCATCACCTAAATCACAACCTCAAGTACCAAATATTAATTAAATACATTAAACCATCCTAAACATTGTTGTTACTTGTTAATTCAGCAATAAATAAAACAATAAGACAAGTTATAAAAACTTTATTCCTAACTAACAATTCAACCATTTTCCAACAACAGGTCGACTACCAAAGTTGTGCGGATGTGTTCTAGGTAATATCGGTTTAAATAATAAATAAGATCTCATGACACCAATTAAGATCACACGTATTCATAATAAATCCGAAACACAGAGAATCCGAAGAAAAAAAAACATTGATTCACATATAGTTTAAGGACATTAGATCAAGTACAAGAAACCAATTATTTTCATTGCTCATGGATTGCTAAAAGAATAACAAATATAATAGTTTTTTTTTTCATTTGCTTAGAGATTGCTGAAAGAATAACAGAGATAATAAAAACGAGTTATGCACAAGGGTTGTTGGAAGAATTACATATATGATAGAAACCAGTTTTAGGCTCAAATGTAGCATACAAAAAACCCCAAAACATGGTTACTCTAATTAGTCCAAAGTCTCCTAATCCAAAACAAAAACATTAAAAGAAGATGACTAGAAATTGACACAAGGTCTCCATATGGGGGAACAAACTCAAAGTGGTGTCACTTGCATTCAACACCAGCTTCAGCAGCTCGATGAGGTTTGTTCTTCCTCCTGCTTCCATTATGGCGAAAACCATTAGATCTGGTTCCATTTGGGCTTCCATCTTTCACTAAATCCCCTTTTTCCTTTTGTTTATTTCGTTTCCTTTTCTTTCCACTCGCATCAGAATTTGTAGTCTCATCTTCATCTTCGTCGTCTTCTTCTTCTTCCATCTTTACAAGATCTTCATCTGCTTCATCCACCAATGGCTTTTGTGGCCTTCCTCTTCGCTTTTGAACAGGGATTTTTTCGTCTTCACCGCTTCCAGGATCATCGTTGTTGGTCAAAGTAAACTTCTTTCCTTTCCTCCTTCCCATGCTTGCACCAATCAAGAAACTTACAGTACCAGTAACAAATTCTGCGAAAGTAATTAAGAAAATGCACTGTAAATCGAGAGATGGATCATGGGTATTGGGTACATTTGATTATAACATACCATAGATTTGAGTAAACTGAATTGCGAAGAGCCCTAAAGATGAAAACTTTTTGATTTCCGAAAGTAAAAGAGATCATTTGAGTGAAAATTAGGGGTGATGACAAAACTGGGACCCTAGAAAGCACAAGAACCAGCATAAAGATCTATAAAAGATGCGAAAATGGTCTAAAAGAGTAGATCCAAGAAATCAGAATTTGATTAGATAACTGAAGCAGTAAACAGATTTGATGCAAAACCCACTAGCGGAACATGTTAAAGCAGATAATATGAATCATAAAACACGATCAGATTAAGACGAAAGTAACTCACCATGCGAGGTATCAGAAGCTAAAGCATCTTCTTGATGAGAAAAAATATGTTCTTTTTAGAAAAGAAAAATGTGTATTGACAGCGAGAAACAGAAAAACTCAGATAAAGAAAACTGGTGATTTGGGAATGGAAGAAACTGGTGGCAAAAGGTAAAGAAAGAAGAAGCGGATATGGAAGAACAGAGAAAGAGATAGAGAGATATGTGTGTTGTTTGATTGGTTTTATGTAGATGGGAATTTAGTTTGGAAAGTGAAATGGGTAAGGAGGAAAGATGTTAGTTAAGTGTGAGGAAATCTCAATTCAAATCCAAATCCAAAGACAAGGTCTAAGGGCAGATTTGGTAAAACCAGGAAAAGGTTGTTGCTTAATCACCCCCCTTCAAAAGATACTTGATCGTTATTTCCTTTTCCTTTTAATTCAAAACCTATCAAATTGTATGAAAAGTAACCTATTTTTGTTCAATTTCCTCTTTAAAATTGTAAACTATTTTTGTTAAAACTTCGATTCAAATGTACTTCGTTTTTCTTAGGAAATATAACTTATTAAGGTAATTAACTTTTTTGTTTGCTCATATTTGGGTAATTATTTTTTTTTACACATCGAGCTAACGAACTTGTTGGAAGTGTTCAAATATGACCATTATGACATGCTGTAGCAGGTTACATCCGGTCATAATGGTTATATATTAACACTTTCAACAAGTTTGTTACCTAGATGTGTACAAAAAAAAATAGTTATCCATATGAACAAAATGAAAGTAAGAGTAAATTACACGAATGGTCTCTGTGGTTTAGGAGAATTTGTGTTTTTGGTCTCTAACTTATTTTTTTAACTCGGATGGTCTCCACTGTTTATTTTTGTTGCGCGCTTGGTCCATGGCCTACCTCTTCGGTCTTTCAACCGGATGTCGTCTAGCATATAAGCACATAAATCACATATTGTCATACATAACCATGAGCCATACATATATCATAACCAATAAAGATGTTATGTGCCAAACATAGTCTTGCCATTATGCCACGGGCCGCCACGTGGTCTTTCTTGCCAAGCCGGGGGCCACCCCCTCGGTCTTACAGACAAGTGCCAAGAGCCACCTCCTAGTCTTCCATGAAAGCATCACAAAAGACAACTAGCATACATATTACTCTACGTAGCCAATTAGCATACAGTGTGCCAGGAGCCACCTCCTGGTCTTTCATACATAATGCCTAGGGCTAACACTCAAGTCTTCCTACCATACATAATAGCATACAGTGTGCCAGGAGCCGCCTCCTAGTCTTTCATAGATAATGCCTAGGGCTAACCCCCGAGTCTTCCTACTATGCATCAACTAAATGGGTCGGCATTGGTGCCTTCGACCCATACAAACAGTGAGGAGACTCACCTCGCACTGCTAAAGTCCCGCGTATAAATCTTTGGTCGCTGGCTGAAAGAACCCCGAACTGTCAATCGTCAAAACAAAACCCAATTAACAATCGGGTTCCAATGCGTAACCATAAGTCCACACATGGGGTAAAAAATATCATTTTACCCCTAACCTAGCTTGGTCCAAGGCCAAGGCCCAAACTCAAACTCTGGAGGCCCAAAAGCCAAACAATAAATCAAGGCCCAACATATGGACCAATTTTTCAAATTGGGCCCAAACCTCTACATGGTCTTACCTTAAGGCCCAACCATTTATTCTACTCCAAACATTTGGCGTTCCGATGGTCGAATATCTCATAATCATCATGTCACACCCTCAAAACCAAATGAACGGCGGAAACGTTCTGGGGTGGAAGACGTCATGTACAGTATCACACCAATGCAAGTAGTAAACAAGCAACAACATCATCCATTGCATTAATAATATAATTTCATACAAGTGTGTTCCGTTAAGTTTTAAAGACACCAAAACAATATACATCAAAATATAAGATGAGTCTTGAACGAGCTCCATCTTCTCAAAACCTGGCTCCGGTACCTGTCTACTGGTGACCTGAGAATACAAGTTATTTTGAAAGAGTTTATCAGCTTTAGAGCTGGTGAGTTCATAAGTATATTAGTGTCTGTGTTTGTATGAAAGCATTTGTAAGATGTTTTGTAAGATGTACTGTGTGTTTGTAAAAGTTTTGTATTTGTTTGAACTATCCTAGAAAACCCTATGTTTCCTACTAAAAGTAGCCTTCTACCAAGGCATCTAGTGTCTGTGTGTGTATCCTTTGTAAAAGTGAGTATTTTCCCAAATCCGACTATCATTAACCAAAAATATAGTTTTTACATTATTGTTTATTGTGTGAAATCACAAAGTAAAATGTAAAGGGAAAATGTTATAGTACTTTAATGTAGTATTATGAAACTACTGCTGTACTAACTACCTTAAGTTAATTGTATATTTTAGGGTAACATGTGATCGGCATGTATCTTGCTACCGACTTAATAGTAAAGTGACAATGTAAGATGCCACAAAAATGACGTTTGGCACCCGTAGACTTGCAAGTCCCACTGTAGCGAACAGAAAGGTGTAGGATAGTCAATCCAGTATAGATCTATACACAAACTCATGTGCTCCCCAATTAAGGAGATTCTGATACAGAAACAGTCATGGCAGGTAGTGCCATGCCCTGTTTAATGGCTCACATAAATGTATTAATGTAAATGTTATGTGAATTGTGTGCTAGCTGTATTGTATGTTCTTTCTCTGTCTAGCCTGTATGTTTGTTTCTCATCACTCTGTTCATGTTTGTTTCTCATTAGAGTATGTATTGACTCATGTATGAACTGACTCATTGTATGTTTCATCGTTCTAGTAATAGTAGCTTCCTAAACTACCCCTATGGTAGCTTACTAGCAATGTATGAACATGTTTGTATACCCTTGCTACCCAAGGGTATGGACTTGAATGTAGGAAAACCTTTTGTATCTATATACATATACATAATATATAACTAGGATTCAAACGACCTTCGGACAACTAACCTTGATACCTCAAGACCACAATCAAACAAGAACAGGAAGCAGGGTAGACTAGCAGTCCTAAGTCCTTCTTAATCCTACTTATATAACTATATTTATATAGATACACATAATATAAGTTAAAAGAGGTTGATAACAAACCTTTTATATCCATATACGTATACATAATATATAACTAGGATTCAAACGACCCTCGGACAACTAACCTTGATACCCCAAGACCACAATCAAACAAGAACAGGAAGCAGGGTAGACTAGCAGTCCTAAGTCCTTCCAATCCTACTTATATAACTATATTTATATAGATACACATAATATAAGTTAAAAGAGTTTGATAAATGTATTGACAATAAAAGAGTTTGTAAAACAGTTTGAGGTAAAACAGTTTGAGGTAAAACAGTTTGATAACCAGTTTGAAAAGTAAGAAAACCATTTGTTTGGTAGTTATTAATCACATGTGATTGATATAATAACTATAATTGTTCAACTTGTATTCCCCCCCATAAAAGCATTTAAAAACATTTAAAAGGTTAATTAAGGGGTATGAACTCACCTGTAGTTGGTGGTTTGGATGAACTGAAGAAATAGGATTGCTAGGTGTCAAGTGAAGACTTGTACACACACAATGATCCTATTTAACATATAAATACAACATATATGTATCTAATTAGACTTTAAACAACTAATTAGCAAAGTTAAGACATCCTAAGACAAGTTAAACACCTTATATAAGTGTTATAAGTCTCAAGGAATGCATCTAAGTGTTGTCGAACAATGCTATAGGGTTTAGGGTTCAAAAGAAACCCTAACTTGAGTTTACGGTTTTGTGACCTCCACCCAATGGGTTTACGGTCGTAAACTCTAGAGTTTACGCCGTAAACTCCCCCTCTTTTGACCATTTGTTGATTTGAACGTTTCTAAGTCCATTGAAGGTTTTCCTCTTGAAGTATAAGCCTAAGGAAGAAGCTAGGGCACCATTTCACTCCTATTTGGAGTTTACGGCCCAAAGACCACATCCCTTTGGGTTTACGGTCGTAAACCCTAGAGTTTACGGCCGTAAACTCTTATGGATGTTGGTATTTCGATGATTTCAAGTCCTTAACACATCAAGGTAAGGATCCAAGTTAGTTACCTAGGCTTAGGAAGGGACTAGGGACATTTCGATCCCTTAAAATGGGTTTACGGTTCAAGAATGTTCTTGGACCGTAAACACCATTTTCTTGGTGATTCTTGGATGATTTCATGTTATAATGAGGTATAGCAAGCTTAAACACACTCTAGGATAGAAGTACTTACTATATGGAAGCTTGAAATGAGCCAAAATGCCAAGAACACTAGTGTGTGTTCTTGGTGTTCTTGGTGTAAATGGAAAATCAACCTTTTGGAATGATTTCACGGTTAGAAAGTGTTAAAACACTAGATTAAGTGATCTACTAACTTGAAATGGTTGAAAACACTTACTAGATCGAGATCTGGAATAAATCTCGTGATGATACTTGAGAGGATTTGCTTTTGTTCTTGAGAAATTTGGAAAAATGATAATAAATGACAAGTGTCATATATATACCCCAAATTTCTGGGTTTTTGGCTGAAATATTTTATTCCCGGTAGTAACTCCATTTCTTGAAGTTTAGGAATAACAGTGATGCACTATAACCCTAGGGCATCCTCTCTCCTGGTATCTCCTAAAGTGTAAATCCTAAAATAAACAAACTTAATCCAAAAAGTCTGAAAATTTAACTGTAACTGATTTGACTTCTATTGAATTGACATGTTGTACAGAATAGAAATTTCGGGTTGTCACATCATCCCCTCCTTAGAAGGAATTTCGTCCCGAAATTAGAATTTAAGCAATTAGTAGTTACAAGGAACTAATTAAAAAGACGAGGATATTTCAGTTTCATCTGATCCTCTCGCTCCCAAGTGAATTCAGGTCCTCGCTTGGCGTTCCAGCGAACCTTCACTATCGGGATGCGGCTTTGTTTCGTTTGCTTGACCTCCCGGTCCATGATCTCTACCGGTTCTTCCACGAAGTTGAGGCTCTCATTGATCTCGATCTCGTCGAGTGGGATTACAAGAGTCTCGTCGGACAGACACTTTTTCAAGTTCGAGACGTGGAAGGTAGGATGTACGTTACTGAGTTCGCTCGGTAAGTTAAGTTTGTAAGCTACAGGGCCGATTCTGGCAAGAATCTCGAAAGGCCCAATGTACCTTGGATTTAGCTTTCCACGCTTTCCGAAGCGTATCAAGCCCTTCCAGGGTGAGACCTTCAATAGAACATGGTCGCCCACCTGGAATTCCAACGGTTTCCTTCGTTTATCAGCGTAGCTTTTCTGTCGGTCTCTGGAGGCTTTCAGTCGTTCACGGATCTGAACGATCTTCTCCGTCGTTTCCCGTATGATCTCCGGACCTGTGAGAGTGCTTTCAGGAACTCGTCCCTTAGCTAACTGGGTATCACCTACCTCAGCCCAGCACAGAGGGGATCTGCACTTTCGGCCGTAGAGGGCCTTGAATGGAGCAGCCTTTATGCTTGTGTGATAACTGTTGTTGTAGGAAAATTCTACAAGGGGTAAATGAGTATCCCATGTTTTCCCAAAGTCAATCACACAGGCTTGCAACATGTCCTCCAAGGTTTGGATAGTCCTCTCACTTTGCCCGTCTGTCTGCGGATGGTAGGCTGTACTCATATCCAGCCTAGTTCCTAAGGAACCTTGTAGCGACTGCCAGAACCTGGAAGTGAACCTACTATCTCTGTCTGAGATAATGGATATAGGGACACCGTGAAATCGTACAATTTCCCTTATGTAAGTTCTTGTAAGCTTCTCCATCTTGTCTGTCTCTTTGATAGGCAGGAAGTGCGCGGACTTGGTCAATCTGTCGACGATGACCCATATGGTATCAAGTCCACCCGTTGTCTTGGGCAACTTGGTTATGAAATCCATGGTGATCCGCTCCCACTTCCA